ATATTAATTTAAAAATAAATTTTAATTTAATAATTGGACATAGATATATCTTAGTAAAAAAAAAAACTGTCACTAGATTATTAATCAGTGTATATTGATTAATGTATACATTATTCCTTTATTAAATAAAATTATAATTAAAAGCATATTAATAATTTTTAACTATTATGTGGTGTAAAACTGTTTTTTTTCTACTATTATTGAAATATTAACAAATAAAAAAGTATTGTCTGACTAAATTCTTATTTTAGTACTGATATTGAAATATTAACTATATTTTCTGACTAAAATTATCATCTACTACTGATTTTAATACTATTTTAATACTACTACTACTGATATTAATGTATTAATAGATGGAAATTTATTGTCTGACTAAAATTGACTTGTACTACTGAAACATATTTTTTTAAAGGCCTTATTACATTATGGCTGGCTAAAACTGTCTTTTACCACTGAAATATATTTTTTAAAGGACTTATTACATTCTGTCTGACTAAAACTGTCTTTTACCACTAGAACGAAAATTTAGTGATTACTATTAACCAAAAAAAACTTACAGGAAACTTTTATAGTAATTACATAATTGTCTGATTAAAAACTGTCTTTCACTACTTACATATTAGTTTACATAGTTAAAATAAAATTTTACTTTTTAAATATTTTTCAAACAAAAACCTTCTTTTTTAACCGATCTATAAACATTCGTAGAAAATTATAGTAGTCTGACTAAAATTATTTTTTACTACTGATTTCAGAATAAATTGACCCTCTAAACCGTAGTTGTCTGACTGAAATTGACTCATACTACTAGTACTTGTTAATAAAGAAATGTATAGTATTTTGGCTGACTAAAAACGTATTATTCTACTTATATAAAAATTTTAATACTTTAAAAACTTCCTGTCTGACTATAACTGACCCTTACTACTGGTAAACATCCAAGCTAAATGTTTTGCCTATCTAATGTTGTCTGTTACTAATTATATAAAAAATTGAAAATTTATGGTCTGACTAAAAACGATCTTTTACTACTTATTAATACTTTTTTTAAAATCAATACACTGATTAATAAATAGGTTTTTTTTTTTTTTTTTTTTTTGACTTTATGTGGAAAAAAATGGAAACCTTTGGAAATAAAATTTTCTAATAAAATAAATCATCGATTAAATTTATAAACTAATTTTAGAAAAAATTTTTAAAAAAATGATTATAAAACAAAAGAAACTTGACCGTACTTATTGAATAAATTTATATACGCAGTCAAGTCTGTATTAATCACATTCACTCGTTATTTGCGCCCACACGTGCCGACTGCAGATCTCAGGAAACGGTGAAAACAGAACACGCGAGGGTTAGGGACAAGGTTCAGTGTCAGCAATATTATTCGCTTCTTTCTTTTTTTAAAGTCAAATGAAAATAAATACGAAAACTTCTTCTCTCTATTTTACTTTATATAGAAAATTTTTTTTTTCTTTTATTTTCTTATATACAATTTTTATTTTATTATTTAAAAAATTTTTTTTATTTTACTTTTTTATTTTACTCTTTTTTAAAATTCTTATTTTACTTTTTGTAAAAAATTTTTTATTTTACTCAATATAAATTTTTTTATTTTCATTTTCAAAAAAAAAAAAAATTCTTTTTATTCAATAAAATTTAAAAAAAAAAATTCACAACATTGTTTTATGACTCTCTTTTTTTTCAAACATGTCAGTGTCATATTTGAAGTGATGCGCGAAAAACTTTTTTAAAATGGTTAAATAACTGTGAGAGGAATTTTTATACTTATTTTATAACGATAAAATACTTTGGACAAGGAGAAAAATGAAACCTCTGGTACTCTGAAAGTTTGTTGTTTTTTTTTTTTTTTTTGTTATAGCGAGTCATTGAACGTCGATTTTTGCAGTATGATTTTCAGTGACAAAAGAAAATTCTCCCTTTTTCCCCATAGTAGATTTCTCACTTTTGCTTGCGTTTCTCCTGTGTATATATATATGTATGCCTTTATATGCTCAGACGCTTCAGTGCAACTTTATGACGATAATAATAATAATGCATCCCTGTTTATTATTCATAATATTCAAAAGACAAACACACGAACCTCATTACATTTAATTTTTTGTCTCCTTTTTAACAAAAAAAAAAAAATTAATGAAATAATAATAAACGTTATTTCTAAATTTAATTTTATTAATTCTTTATATCAATTTGTAGACAAAAAAAAATGTGAAATCTTTTTATAAAATTTTTATTACATTATTCAAAAGATAAGTTTTTTTTTTTTATATCAAACAATGAATTTATTTTATCGTGTCACCTCACAATAAAAACATTTTTTAATGTTCTCACTTAAAGATGAAGAAAAATCGTTAAAAAATATTGTTTTAAATGAAGATAAAAAAAAACTTTTCTTTTGTAATTTAGTGATGGAAAAAATAGAATAAGAAGAAGAAAAAAAAGATTGAAAAAAAAAATTTCTTGTACTAAAAATGAGAGTGTGTATGTTGTTTCTGATAACATTTTCTATGGAAAAAGATCCTTTCTGACTAAATGACACTCAACTGAATGGAAGGCGAGCTTTACAAAACTTCCTCAAAAGGACTTGCTTTGGTTTTGTGGAGATGGAATCTTTTTCAATATGGCTTTGGGTTTTTTTTTTTTTTTTTCTATCGGAACTTTTGTATTTCTTTTTTTTCGACCTTTTAACATCGATATTTGAGCGGAAAATAAATAATTAGTTTAATTGAAAAAAGAATCACAATTATTGTGCTAATTTATTTCATTGATTAAAGAAATTTTGTTACGGGCTTTTAAAACATCTCGTACCATTTATATTTAGAAGTAAATAAATAAATAGAAAATGAAATTCTTTATTGAAAATTAATTTACAAATTTAAATATTGTTTAATAAAAAAATAGTAAAAAAAAGTAAAGAATAGTAAAGAATAGTAAAGAATAGTAAAGAATAGTAAAAAATAGTAAAAAATAGTAAAAAATATTAAAAAACTAGTTAAGAAATATTAAAGAAATTATAAATATAAATCGAGAACGTAGCCTGTTTATATTTGAGCGAAATAAGTATCCCGCTTGTGAGAGAGAAAGTATCGCCACCTATAAGCAATCGCCGGAAGCTCAGTATGATGCGCAGATACCTCTGCGCACATGGCGCTAATTTTTGAAAATAGTTCTATGCGCCTATTTTATTTATCTTCGTCACTACAACAATAATTTTTTTTTTTGAATCCTCAAATACAAATGACGTTTTCCAACTCAATGTTTCCTCTGAGTTGAATTTCAAGTGACCTAATCTGCTATTGATAGTATCGATACCATGGCCAAAGTAAATGTCGAGGTTCCATGAAACGTGTTCTCCATTTCGAATGTATTTTCTTCTTTTTCGTCTTTTATATTCGAGTAAAAGTTTAGCATCCTTCATATATATATATATATATATATATATATATATAAAGAACGGAAGCAAACGGAGAATTTCCATTTTCTATTTTCAATTTTTTTTGTCCTCTTTCAGAATGACCCTTTTTTTTGAAAATACAATTGTTATTGACATGACAAAGAACTCGTTAAATTTTACCCTGTCGTCGGTTTGTTTAGAGCCTCTGGGCATGCAAATTTTATATAGCGCAGATGCTCGCTTTTTTTTTAACTGGTTCTTTAGTTGTCTATATAAAGCGAAGCGCACAGAGCATAAAAATGCACCCGGTTTACATTGCAATTATATTTCAAGCATTATGTGTCATTTCCTGCAAATGGACTAGCCCCAGTCTCCTTTGAGACCGCAGTTAAGAGCATTTTTATTATATACGCTATATATACAATAAAAAGAAAGAATAAGAAATGCTTTTTTTTACATCACTGCGACAAAACTCACTTGTGAAATATATATTTTTATATACATTATGCCTCTGATTTTAAAACTTGTTATCTTTTCCACATTGACGTCACACGCTTCTTTTTATGAATATTTTTAGAAAACTTTTATGTAGAAAAATGTTTCACTGTATTATAAAATATGTAACTGGAAAAAAAAAAGAATTTTACAAAATTTTGTCTTTTATTTATATTTCTAAATAGAAATAAAATCAAGTTATTTTCAGAAAAAAAAATTTTTTTATAGTGGAATGTTATTTGGATCAGTTTGGATTTTTTATAATTTGGGGAAATATTTAAAATTCATGGTTAAAATTATCGTACGTATAAAAGTCAAGTTGTTAATTTACAAATTGTTATGATAAAAATAAAATAGAATGTATTGTACCTGCCAAAAAAAATAAATAAATATGAATAAAGAGGGAAATAAAAGTTAACTTAGTACCAGGCCATCAATTTTATGCTATTTTTTTCAAAGCCAAAAACTATATATATATATAATACCAGAAGAGCCAATTTAAAGAGGAAAAAGAAATGCTCTTTACTCAGAATGTGAAAGCAACGATTGGGAGGGCCATTGATTCTTGTTCACTGTCGCACATGTTCATTCGATCGGTGGCATGGAAATATTATGACCGCCGAGTTAAATGAGATTGCGTTCGTTCGCAAATTGTGTGCCAACCATTTTACATTTTTTCACATTAAATTATATATACTTTTAAACATAATTCGTTTCACATATAAATGAAAAAAGAGACTCATTATAAATATTTATGAAAAAAACAAAAAATGATGAAAAAATTTTTATTCTAAATTACAATACATATATATTGATAAAAAAAATTAAATATTTTAAATATTTTCTAAAATATTTAAATTCAAAAAATTTCATAATAATAATATTTTAATTCATATTATTTATATTAACAATTAATATTTTAATTTTGAAATTTAAATTTTTTTTAACATTTCATTAAAAATTATAACATGTAATTAAAAATGGAGAATTTTTTGTGCTGATAAATGTTTTGAGAATTGTTTTTGCGCATATATATTATTTAAATTGAAAATAACATTTTGAATTGAAAATATTAAATTTGCAAACTTGCCTTAATGCGGAAAATGTGACTGTTCTCAAGAAACGAGACAGGTTGCTGCTGTTCGTTGTGTTGTTTCCTTTAATTTTCACCTCCTTTCATTTTAAGCCTCATCAGTGCTGTTTAACCTTTCCTTTTGTTTAGTAACAATGCATGTCAACCAATCATAATTCACTTCCCTTTCCCCACGATTGTATATTATTGATCTGTAAACAGAAAATATAATAATCTTATTATTCATTGTTCACAATTTTCTTCTTTTGTCTCTACTATATATTAATAAACAAAAATTGATTTGTCTGACTGTTTTACTGTTATCTCAAAAATTAATTGATTAAAAATTTTTTCTCTTACTAAAATTGGTATTTTACTACTAAGTCGACTTTGATTGAATTTTATCGATTTTGTTTGACTGAACATGTATTTTACTACTGAAAAACAGAATTTTAATATCTGGTAAACTACCACAAAAAAAACTAATTTGTCTGACTAAACAGGTATTGTACTACTTATAACAAAATGTGAAAAAATAGAAAATTATTGTCTGACTAAAATTTTATTTTACTACTGAATGTATCATTGCATAAATTTAAAATATTTTGTCTGACTAAAGTGACCTGTTACTACTTAAAAACAAAATTTTAATAACTAAAACTCACAGAAAAAAAACTGTTTGGCTGACTAGAAATTGCTACACTAGTTACGGTAAAATTTTAGAAAAAATAGAAACGTTTTGTCTGGCTAAAACTGTCTTTTACTACTGTTACACTTTATACTATTTTGTCTGACTAAAGTCGTCTTTTACTACTGAAATCAAATTATAAATAAATAAATATATAAATGTGAAAAAATAGAAAATTATTGTCTGACTAAAACTTTATTTTACTACTGAATGTATCATTGTATAAATTTCAAATATTTTGTCTGACTAAAATCGTCTTTTACTACTTAAAAACAACATTTTAATAACTGTAAAACTCACAGAAAAAAAACTGTTTGGCTGACTAGAAATTGTTACACTAGTTACGGTAAAATTTAAAAAAAATAGAAACGTTTTGTCTGGCTAAAACTGTCTTTTACTACTGTTACACTTTATACTATTTTGTCTGACTAAAGTCGTCTTTTACTACTGCAATAAAATTATAAATAAATATATAAATGTGAAAAAATAGAAAATTATTGTCTGACTAAAACTTTCTTTTACTACTGAATGTATCATTGCATAAATTAAAAATATTTTGTCTGACTAAAATCGTCTTTTACTACTGCAATAAAATTATAAATTTTTTCTTATTTTTCACTAACAAAAATCAATTTTTTTCTATTAAAATATTTGCCCGACTAAAAAAAAAAAAATTGGCTTACACTATTAATTAGTCAATTTTCTATTTTTAACAAAAATAATGTCCAACTAGAACTGTTCTTTTCTATTCACATTGATAGAAAAAATTATTGTCTGACTATAATTCACTATTTACTACTTTAATTTCAAAATAAGACATCGTTAAATATTAATTGTAAATAGAATTATTTATATATAATTAATATATTGTATAATTATAATTTTATAATTTTTATATCAAAATTATTATTATTATTATTATTTTCAAATTTTGTGTATTTTCATTTCGGCTAGTTTATGTACGGGAATTCCATCGGGAATATAACAACGAGATTATGACGTCAACTTTAGCAAGCTCCAGGGCTAATTCATCTTCACAAAGAGAGAGTACACCTGGTACTTGAAAGCTCGAACAGAATATTATGCCCCCCTCCCCACCTTGTCTTTATTATCTCATCTGTTAAATACCTTTTTTTTAAACTTGCTATTAATTACTTAAAGTTACAAATACTCATAATAATAATAATAACAACAATTTTTATATTTTTATCAACAATAGTATAAAAAAAAATTTTTAATATAATTATTCTAAATATTATATTAGTTACTATTATTATTATTATTATTATTATTATTATTATTATTTAGTAGTAAATTATTATTAGTAGTAAATGACAATTTTAGTCAGACGAAATGCTTATTATTATTTTTTTTTTATTATTCACATTAAAATTAGAATATTAAGGGGGGAACACCAGTTGTAACTTTCGAAAAATCAATTTTTTTTTTTGTGCATTTTCTTAAAGTATACATATTTAGAAATGTGTCTGTAAATTTCAAAGTTGATCCGGTGAAAAATAAATGAGATATACAGAACACTGCATCGGCGCGTCCCGTGGCTTCATACAAGGTGGCCAGCCATAACTGACCCTAACGACAGATGGCCTTTTCCTATGATTTAGAAACGGCAACCACTGCGGAAGAGTTATTATATGGTCCAGGAATCGATGACTCTTTGTAAATTGGAAACAAAATTTCTTCTGAACAAAAAAAAGTAAGTTGAAACTTTGAATGCGTTTTTCTCAAAATGACATTTTCCAAGTCGGTGACCACGATTACTCGAATACCATTAAACCGATTTATTTAAAATTTAGTGTGCTTCATTTACACATATAAGTCTAGTTCGTGATCGAAGGATTTTTTTTTTTATGCAAAACTTTTTTTTATATAGCTGAAAATCGACCGTATTTTTTTAACGAAAATCATACTTTTGACTTTGACAGGTCGCCATTTTGTCAAATTTTTTTTTTTTTTTAAATCCTTCGATCACGAACTAGATAATCTTATAATAAATGTAAATCAATTTCATTTTTGTATTTCAGACGAAGTATACTTGCAGAATGCTGGTCACCGCAATTCGCCTTTTTTCTTAAGACGCCACTTCAATGGCTCATATCTCCAAAAGTTTTTGTTAAAAAAATTTTTTTTTTCTTTTAAATTACAGCTTTTTACATGTACTTTTAACTAATAAATAGTATTCTTTAAAAAGATTCATTGTTCTTTTGGAAAATATTCTTGAAAAAAGCATTATTTTTTGAGTTACAACTGGTGTTCCCCCCTTAAGAGAGAGAGAGAGAGAAAGACAAAAAAGAAAATAGAAAACGCAAATCCCACAGGACATCAAGGAGGATTTCTCTCTCTCTCTCTCTCTCTCTCTCTCTCTCGTTGCATGTTGTGTGTATAATGTAACTTTGCGTGTTTATAAATTGACAGGATATTTATAATGAACAGGGTAAAGTCATTGTGTACAGGAAGATTTGCTTTTCAAGTCTCGTGAATAAACGTTGGTAATGTAAAGGTGATGAGGGGATAAAGAGGGGGGGGGGTTTGAAGGGGGATTTCACAATATTCAGCCTTGGCCTCTTGGCCCGATTCATGCATGCCTGAACATGTTACATTTACAAGTTTAAAGGCATGTCTAAAGAAGGAAGCTACAAGAGGTCCTTCATTCAGGATCATGGTATATATAAACACACACATCCAAATACAGCACGACTTTCTATTTTCTACACCTTTCTTTTGTAGTACATACAAAAATTCGATCTAACCCAACTTCCATTAACTTACATTTTTCTCCTTCATACGATTTTTCTCTAAAAGTGTAAGAAATTCGTTTACTTCCGGTTCCCTACTTTATAGAGCGAAAAAAAAAAAATTCCCAAACAAAAGAAATTGAAAAATATGTTGTGAATATGATTTTTTTTAAAACAAAAATTGTATATTAAAAATTACAAAATGTACTTTTTAAAAAATATATTTTTTTCTATACTTTTAAAAGTTAATAAATATTTTAAGTATTGTGGGAAAATTTATTATCCAACACACATATTATATATACGAAGGAAAATTGGTAAAAACTTTGTATTATAAATTTCATTGACATTCAAGAACACTTTTGAACAAAGTTTTATTATAAAGACTTTGTTTCGTCTTTTTTATTTGTTTATATATTTTCGATAAAATTTCTTTTGCAATTTTGTGTATTACTGCATTTTTATTATAAACAGCATTAATTTTCGAAAAAAGTTTTTTTCTATCCATATAATATGAGCGCATAAATGATTTTTAAAAAAATAAATTATAACAAAAATACCATCAATTTTTTACCCGCCAAGACAAATCCTCTTTGATTTGTTGTTGTTTTTTTTCAGTTTTGTTCCACGACCTTGTGTTGTGAATATAATCGGATTATTTGAATTCCCCGCTCTTCTTCATGTCATGTGTCTAGATTTCTTTTTTCACTCTATATCTCCCTCTTCTTTTTTTTCAAAGCATCAAAGAGATTATTGGCTTTACGCGTGTTTTCACTAATTGGATTGTGTTAAAGAGCCATTCGAAGCTTGAGTGAGATCGATATGGCAAATAAAAATTTACAACACACACACACCCCCCTTCTTTTTTCTCCCCCTACGAAAAAATGATAAATAAAACATGAGCAATCGTCCAAAAAGTTTTCAAAATGCAGTTATTGATTATTTTTTTTTGGCAATGCAAGAACTAAAAAAAAACATCTCTTGTTTTATGCCAATTTAATTTTAGGTCAAACTATTTTTCGAATCTGTAATTATTTTTCTCTTTTGTTAATAGAATAAAAAAAATCCTCTTGAATTTGGTGAGAAATTAATTCTTTTTGTAATTTGAAATTACTATTCCACTTTCAAATCTGCTAAAAATATTTTGATAGCATAATATTTCGAGGAAATATTCTCCTTGGGGGGTATAATGATGCTTAAGTGTACTCAAAAGAGCTAAGGCCTTGTTGAATACTAAAAAGCCAAGAAGCACATCGTATGAGAGAAAGTCACTAAAGGCCACTGACCCTCTCATCACCTCGTAAACAAAAAAAAAAAAAAAAAAACTTGAAGCCTCCAATTAGAATGTTTTAGAAAATCTTTGAGAAAAAAAAAGAAAGATTCTTCTACACCGTTATAGAAAGTAAGAGAAAAGAAAAAAAAATAAAGAGAGAAGAAAAGAATAGAACTAATGAAATTGTCAATGGTAACGAGAGGCGAAAGCTCGAAACGCAAGTGAACTAACGTGACAATTAGCTGACAAGACTCTCATCCAATTTGCCTGGTACTCTCTTTTTTTTCGAAAAAAAATCTACATTTTCTCCCCTCTCTCTCTCTCTTTTATTTTTATTGCAATTGAAAATACCCTTTTTAACCCATTCTCTCCATTACTAACCTTTTTTTTTCTACGCGAAGAGGATTTTTATTTTTTCCACTTTTGTTTACTTTTCCACTCGATTTAATCCAAATTAAATATACGAAAATTCCATTTAAAAATAATTTGAATTAAATT